ACACAAAAAACTCACCCCTCTCTCTGTCTCACACACAAAAAACACTCACCCCTCTCTCTGTCTCACACACAAAAACACTCCCCCTCTCTCTGCCTCACACACAAAAACACACTCCCCCCTCTCTCTCTCACACACAACAAAAACATTCACCCCTCTCTCTGTCTCACACACAAAAACACTTACCCCTCTCTCTGTCTCACACACAAAAAACACTTCTCTCCCCCCAAAACACTCTCTGTCTCACACACAAAAAACTTCACCCCCCCTCTCTCTGTCTCACACACAAAAAACACTCCCCCTCTCTCTGTCTCACACACAAAAAACACTCACCCACTCTCTCTGTCTCACACACAAAAAACACTCACCCCTCTCTCTGTCTCACACACAAAAAACACTCACCCTCTCTGTCTCTCACCCCTCTCTCTCTCTCACACACAAAAACACTCACCCCTCTCTCTGTCTCACACACAAAAAAACACTCCCCCTCTCTGTCTCTCACACACAAAAACACTCCCCCTCTCTCTGTCTCACAAACAAAAACTCTTGCCCCTCTCTCTGTCTCACACACAAAAACACTTCATACCCTGTCTCACACACAAAAACACTCCTCCCCCTGACTCACACACGAAAACACTCACCGCTCTCTCTCTCCACCCTTACCCCTCTCTCTGTCTCACACACAAAAACACACCCCTCTCTCTGTCTCACACACAAAAACTCCCCCCTGTCTCACACAAAAAACACTCTGTCTCACACACAAAAAACACTCCCCCTCTCTCTGTCTCACACACAAAAACACTCCCCCCTCTCTCTGTCTCACACACAAAAACACTTCCCCCTTCTCTCTGTCTCACACACAAAAACACTCCCCCCTCTCTCTGTCTCACACACAAAAACACTCCCCCCTCTCTCTGTCTCACACACAAAAACACTCACCCCTCTCTCTGTCTCACAAAAAACACACAAACAAAACTCACCCCCCTCTCTGTCTCACACACAAAAAACACTCACCTCTCTCTGTCTCTCACACACAAAAAAACACTCCCCCTCTCTCTGTCTCACACACAAAAACACTTCCCCCCCTCTCCTGTCTCACACACAAAAAAACCCCCCTCTCCTCTGTCTCACACACAAAAACACTCCCCCCTCTCCCCCTCTGTCTCACACACAAAAACACTCCTCCCCCTCTCTTTGTCTCACACACAAAAAGACTCGCCACTCTCTTTGTCTCACACACAAAAACACTGACTCCACTCTCTGTCTCATACACAAAAAGTCTCGCCACTCTCTCTGTCTCACACACAAAAACACTCGCACCTCTCTCTGTCTCACACACAAAAACACTTCTCCCCCTCTCTCTGTCCTCTCTCTCTGTCTCACACACACAAAAACACCCCCCCCCCTCTCTGTCTCACACACAAAAACACTTCCCCCTCTCCTGTCTTACACACAAAAACACTCCTCCCCCTCTCTCTGTCTCACACACAAAAACACTTCCCCCTCTCCTTCTCACACACAAAAAACACTCCTCCCCCTCTCTCTGTCTCACACACAAAAACACTCACTTCTCTCTCTGTCTCATACACAAAAGCACTCACGCCTCTCTCTGGCTCACGCACAATAACACTCACCCCTCTCTCTGTCTCACACACAAAAACACTCGCCCCCTTCTCTCTCTGTCTCACACACAAAAACACACACCCCCTCTCTCACAAACACACACAAAAACACTGCACACACTGTCTCACACACAAAAAACACGCTCTCTCTGTCTCACACACAAAAACACTGACACTCTCTCTGTGTCAAACGGTGCTCAGAAAAACACTAAGGGAGGGCTCAGTCACTTAAAAAATTTTTTTTTAGGAAGTGCTCAAGAAGCCTAAACGTTCGTTAAGTATGTTTTATGAAAACATCTAGTCCAGTGAATCTGATTGTCAAAAGAAGAAAGACATAATCAAACTAGCAGTAACTCATTGATACACGGGCACACAATGTTAATGGGACTGCCAACAGCTTGTTAGTTGTATTTTAGGAAGCTGTTAGTTAGTACGCATATCATTCTCACTGCACATTGAACTATTCAGTAAATAAGTGCTTTGATGCTCTTCTCTTTACATTTCTCGGCGAGCAGCGGCTGACAATCCCAGCTAGGTACTGATGCAAAATTCTTCATGTATATAGAGTATATGATCCTGTCAGGAACAACCCAGTGGGCAGAAACCAACTTTGTGAATACGATTGAAACATAAGACATACACAAGTATTGAATACATACACTTTTCAACGAGAATTGCTTGACATGGTTAGTGTCACCGTTTCACCACCTTACACATTATCTTGGCAAGTACTAGGCTGGTGGAAAAGCGTTAAAGTGGCCCGCCCGCCCCTATACCTTTCAAGTTTAGGCACCCCTGGCTAAGTTTGGTTGTAATGCAGCAAAACTTTCAACACATAACGGATTCCTAGAGCTTCCTACTCTCTCTCTCTCTCTCTCTCTCTCTCTCTCTCTCTCTCTCTCTCTCTCTCTCTCTTTCTTTCTTTCTCTCTCTCTCTCTCTTTCTCTCTCTCACATACACATACACACACGCTCGCGCCTGCCTACAGAGAGAGAAAAAGAGAGGCAGAGAGAGAAATTTTGTGTACAAGAGTGATTATACAAGACCGATTTTGAGAAAGCTGTGAATACCTCAAACTGTCATGCTGATTACCCCTTGTCTGAACAGTTTCAAATGAATCTATGATCACTGGAAAAGAAAAACTGAACAACAAATTTGAGGCAGCAACAAAGGATGTGCAGTGTACCACAGTCTATTGGTTACCAGAAGCTACAGTTCCCTTACCATTGCAATTAATGATCCTGCTTTAGAGCAGCCTTGAAAGCATTTGATAACATGTCAGTCTGAACTTTGAACTCATGACGTAGTAGACAAATAAGTTGGTTGACGAATTCACGACGCTAAAGAGTATAGATAATGACCAGACGGCAAAGAAAATGTTCTTGTATCTACCCGTAGGACCGAAACTCGGATATGGAACTGTTACCACAAGCCCAATGATTGTTGGAAAAAAGGTAGCTACATAAGTTGCTGCTATCAAAGTTATCATTTTTATGGCTTTGTCTTGTCGTTTTGTCGCTTTTTTGGCTGCATTCTGGGTCTTAGACTGCAGTATTCTCCAGGCAGTCATTTGTCTCAGACAGACAATCAGAGTTACAGTGAAAAGCAGAACAGCAAAAAATGCAACTAACTGGAGGGCTGAATGGAGGATATAGGAAGTGTTAGATATTAGTTCAGTATTTTCGACAAAAGTTACTCCCAGTAAAGTCTTGTTTGTCCAGGGTTCAGATCTCCAGGCAAGTGTTAATGATGAATACATAGGTACCATGGTAAAACAGATCATCAAATAAATAGAAACGATGAAGATGATTGTGACTGTTGATGTTAAGATCCTTTTAACCCTAAGTGGCCAGACTACACACAGGCATCGTTCAAACGTAGCAAAAGCTGTCACCATCCCTGTTATAGTGCTGAAACAAGCGTAAGGCAAAGAAGCAAACGTCATCTGTATATCTATAAATACAAGCGGTAGTCCAGAGTTCAGGAACAACGGATTCCAGAAGATACTTAAACACAGCGTGGCCACCAGAGTTAGTAAATCAGAAATGGCAAGTGCGGTATAGCTGATATTTGTGGTCTCTGAAAATCCTTGCTTACAGAACACTAAAATATTGACTATATTACACGCTATACCAAACATGGAAAGGACTCCAACTAAAGCAACAATGTTGATTGTAACTATCGTGGTCATTGTCTCTTTGCTGAGGTCGTCAGATATTGAAAGATATATATCTGCAGAGTCAGTTGACATTGCGATGTGTGTTTCACGTTAGGCTTGATAAGCTAAAATGTAGAGAAAAAAAAATGTTAGCGTTTTCCCCCTTGCTGTTAACTGGTTATTTATTTTACTTTCCGGTTAGCTATCGTAACAACAGCGTATTGGCGGGAAATGCAGTGGTATGTACTTGTTGTCTAAATCTACATTAAGAGGTTCGTTACAGGGGAAGATGAGACGAAGTAGGCCCACAAAAACCTTGGTTCTAATTCTGGCGGACTGTACAGAGATAAAACACGAAATCATTAAATCCAACGAATCTGGCTGTCAAAACTTGAAAAACATGATCAAACAGCAGTAACTGGGCGATTCAGAGGCGTATAATATTAGACCGCAGAAAGCTTGTTAATGATCTATTAGACGTTTTTAGCCCGCAAATAATCCTCACTGCACATTTCAACCGTTCAGTTGATAAGTGCTTCTTTGCTCTCCTCTGTACAATCCTCGGCGGGCATCGGCTGAGAATACCAGCTTGGTACTGTTGCATTATTTGGCTGACAATACCAGCTTGGTACTATTGCAATATTCTTCTTTTTTTTACAGAGCATATGATCATTCTCAGGAACAACTCACTGGGCAGAAACCAATTGTGTTCAGAAGATAAAACCATAAAACACACACACACACACAAACACACAACATACGTAACACAACTGGCAGTAAGACAGCTGCCATAATCTTCTTCTTCTGCCTATCTATACCCCAATGGAGCATAGGCCCTCAACCAACTCACGCCAAATCGTTCTATTCTTTGCTATTACATGGAACTCTTCCAATGCCCTCCCTGTCTTTCTAACTTCATACTCCAGCTCTCTTCTCCATGTGTGGTTTTTTTTTTTTTTTTTTTGGGCCATCCTTTATTACTATGCCCCTTTGGGTTCCATTGCAAAGACATTATAGTTATGCTGTTCTCCAGTTTTCTCAATGTGTGTCCTATCCAACGCCAACGTCTTTTCCTCACCTCTTGATCTACTGGAGCTTGATTAGTTCTCTCCAAAGCTCTGCATTAGTTATTCTATCATACCATTTAATTCCCTCTATTCTGCACAGGCACCAGTTAATGAATGTGTGCAATTTACTAGTAGTTGCCTTAGCTGTTCTCCATGTTTTCGCCCCATACAAAAGTACTGATTTGACATTAAAATTAAAATTTGTAAGTTTAGTATTTCTTTTAATTTCTTTTGACCTACACAAATTCCCCAGTGCTATGAAAGCTCTTCTTGCCTTTTGTATTCCTATTTAAACGTCTCTATCAGTTTCCCCATCGTTATTTATGTTACTGCCCAAATAGGTATACGATTCCACGTCTTGGAGTGGGGTGCCATTAAGTGAAACCACATTACTATTTGCCTGATGTATTCTCATTATCTTTGTCTTTCCCTTATGAATTTTCAGACCTAGCTGCTGTGATCTCGCATCAAGTACATTTAATTTGTCTTGCATCTGATTTCGTGAAGGGGACAGAAGAGCAATATCATCAGCGAAGTCCAGATTATCAAGCTGTTTTGTAGGGGTCCACTGAATTCAATTCTGGTGTTAGCAGTTACTGTCTTCATAATCCAGTAAAAATAGGAGAGGCGACAAAAGACATCTCTGTCGCACATCTGTTTGTATTTCAAATGTATCTGTTAGCTTTCCCTCATGAAGAACTCGACATTTCATGTTTTTATATGTTACCTTTACTAAGTTATTAATTTTCTGTGGGATTCCATCAATTTCCAGAGACATTTCCTATCAATGCTGTCAAATGCTTTTTCAGCGCCTATGAATCCAATGTAAAGTGGTGAGTTCAGTAAAATGCTTTGCTCTATTATTATACGTAATGTGGCTAAATGTTCAGTACATGATTTGCTCAGCCAGAGTATAAGTTAATTGCATATCCTTTTACAGGATGTTGCAGAACCAACCCCAGCATTTTTTTTTTGGCTTTTGTGGTTTTTCTAAGCAAATTTAAGTTCAGTAGTTTGTCATTGATTTCTGGACGATCAGTGTCTCGATACCACTGTCGAAATCTACGCAAGGCGCAAGGCCCGCAGCTGGATTCGAACCCGCCACCCCGATATTTCGAAGCTACAGACGCCGACTCTGCCAGAATATAACCTAATAAAAATTTGTCACAAAAAAAAAAAAAAAGTGATTGTGTCATGCAATTAGGTAGAGGGTATGCGCAGTTTCTAACGCCCAGAGGATGAAAGGACAGGCGGATGTTGCAGCTGGAACCATCAGGGTAGGAAACTAAACATTTAAATGATATTTATAATAGTGGGTATATTCCAAACGACCTTTTAAAATCCATATTTATAGCTCTGCCCAAGAAACCAGGCACATAAAAAATGTGAAGACCATCGCACAATAAGTCCTATGAGTCACATGACTAAGATTCTACTGAGAATAATAATGAGAAGACTAGGAAACAAAATTAACCCAGAAATCAGCGATGAACAATGTGGATTTGAAGAAGGAAACGGTACAAACAATGCCATATACATCCTAAGGACATTGTCAGAAAGAGCTATAGAAGAAACGACTGATTTGTACATATGCTTCATAGACTATACAAAAGCATTTGACTGTGTGAAGCATGAAGAAGTAATCAAACTGTTAGAAAAATTAAACATGGATTGGAAAGATCTATGAATAATAAAGAATATGTATTGGCAGCAAACAGCAGCCATAAGAATTACCAACCGTTTTGGTACATTTCAAAGCATAAAGAGGGGCGTACGACAAGGATGTGAAATGTCACCTGATTTGTTTTCAATGAGATCTTTAATTGGTATGCTCGGAATTGTGGTTGTTGATAGCAACAAGTCAGAAAGAAAAACAGGGAATGGAAGACATTGTGGTGTTAGAAAGTGGAAGAATGGGCCTCAGTTTGAATAGACAGAAGTAATGGTGGTATCAAAGAAACGAATTAATCCTAAGTGTGTAATAAAAGTTGATGGTGTTATTTTAGGACAAGTACAGAAATTTGAGTATCTGGGCATATAGATAACATCAGATGGAAGATGCATAACTGAGATAAGAAACAGAATAGGACGGGCACAAACTGCATTTTATAAAAGGAAAAAACATATTGTACAATGTATCCTTGTCATTGAGAGTTAGAAAAAGAATTCTTGCTTGCTACATACATCCAGTTTTAACATATGGCTGTGATTCCTGGACAATCGGTAGGCAGGCAAAACAATTTCTTGAGGCCTCAGAGATGTGGTTTTACAGAAGAATGCTTACAATACATTGGACAGCCAAAAAGAGCAACCAAGAGGTTTTGAAAGAGGCGGGAGCCCGAAGACAACTTATCACAGACATCAGAAGGAGACAGTCATCATTTTTCGGCGATGTTATGAGAAGAGGGAAAATAGAACATGTTGTGACCACTGGAAAGATCTGTGGAAGGAGAGATAGAGGAAGACAACGAGAAAAGAGGCTTGATAGTCATGTTGCATGGCATGGAAGTGTGTCGGCACACGAACTGATACATGCTGCAGGAGATCGCAGATTAAGGAGAGGCATGATCGCCCACGCCAGTCGGCAAGACACCTGATGATGAAGATGATGTTAGTTCTTAGCTTTATATACAGTGCACCTCCCCCCCCCACCCCACCACCCCCCTCCCCTTTCCGTATTTTTTGTTGTGTTGATAATCTTCAATCAACACTTTGAAAATGTTATTACTGGAGCATTTTATAAGGCGTTATCCTTCCCAGTGGTACGGGACTTCTGGTGCTTCACGTTCTGCCTCAACTGAAATTAACATCGTTTGGTGTTAGTGGTTGTTAATCTCAAGAAGGATTCCTGTAGAAGGACTTACTATATACTGTTTTTTTTTAAATATCTTTTATCTTTCATGGGTAAATCCAGACTAATCTTGGGAAATTCTCTCTCTCTCTCTCACTCTCTCTCTCTCTCTCTCTCTCTCTCTCTCTCTCTCTCTCTCTCTCTCTCTCTCTCTCTCTCTCTCTCTCTTGAATCTCTTCAGTTTTCTTGTATAGTTTTTAAAATGCTTAATTTCATCGTAATTGATAAGTGGGAGTAAAATCATATCGTCAGAATCACGAAATGTTTGACACGCTGACTGTGAATACCGTTTCATAGAGATTCAGTCAATATGGTCCAATGTTTGCATAATGTTCTGTATAATTATGTGGCTAGTGGCATGTGCTAAAGGCGTTGAAACGGTCTATTAATTAGGTGCCATCGTCATCGTGTAGCAGGTAATTTGCTTAACGTGGCTGTCACTACACCCTGAAAGAAACTCGGCTTCTCGCCAACTTTGCCGCCTTGTGAACGTTCTTGCCGGACTATGTGACCTACATTCTGTGCCCCTCTACAAATTAGCTGTACTGCCTTTAATATGCTGAGCCTAACTAGACAGAGATAACACAAATGAAGTTATTGTGTGAAAAATATAACATGTTGACGGTCAACGGCCCAGTCTATAACCCATCGCTGATATGATCATGCGTGATGCTGCCTAAATCACCCAAGTGCCATTTGGTCTAAATAATATACGTCTACCCCTTTATATCTAATACGCCTGAATGCTTTGAAAAAGGTCCTTTTTTTTAAGATATGTTCAAGTCCTAGCACGTGTTGAACAGCATTATTTCTTTCATGTCCACCGCTGTCATAGTTTTCAATGCATTGAGCACATTACACAAAATACCAGTTGAATGCTAAAGAATGGTCCACCAACTTACCCCTGGTGGGAGGCTACTCATTGTAAATTAATACGTGAAACTGCATTGAGCGTTATTAAATCTAAATTCAAAATACTACACACGTATATATGTATATATATATATAATATATATATATATATATATATATATATATATATATATATATATATATATATATATATATATAATATTTATATATAATGTGCGGGAATGTATATATACAAGGTCCGAAAATTAAGTAATGCGACTGATTTTATTATGGCCAAGACAAAAATGCCATCTATAAAGCAAAGTATGGAATCTAAAGAGTCAACATTCATTTATGATCAGGCAAATTCTCATCGCCGCTCGATAAACAGACAAGAAACAAGTCGCCATTTCGTTGACCTAGTCAGAGGTGCATTGTTACGTAATAAACACGTAGCAAAAAGCTAGAATTAAATTCTTTATAAAACTTTAAAAAAAGCGCAATTAAAACAGTTCAACTAATGCAACAAGTTTACGGGGATAATTGATTATCTCGTGCACCAATTTTCAGGTGGTATTCACGATTCAACAGTGGTGTAGAAATGATTAGCAATGCACATAGACCTGGACGTCAAATTTATGTTCGTATTGATGAACTCATTGCAAAAGTCATATAACAGATACAAAAAGATCACAGTTTACTGTGAGGTTGATGGCAGATGAATCTGGTGTTAATAGAGAGACCATTCATAATATTTAAGTGCAACATTTTAGGTGACCAAAAAACAACAACGGGTTGAGTACCCAAGAGACATCATCAAAACTAGAATTTGTGGCTAAAAACAAGAAAATTTATATTCCTAAAATTAAAGTTACGATTGAAAGTACGCATCTTTACGATATTGATGACATCCAAAGGGCCGTAACGTCAACTTTATTAGATATAACAACAGAAGAACTACAGAGGTCGTTCAAGTGTTTGTTAAATGGTGCCACTTGCTTTATCAATGCATAAGGGGCTTACTTTGAATCAGATACAGGTTATATCTTGACCTGTTGATTATTTTAATTTTGATGGAATTAGTCTCATTACTTAATTGTCGAACATTGTATATATATATATATATATATATATATATATATATATATATATATATATATATATATATATGCATACAAATACATATATATACACACACATACATATATATATTTATATAGAGAGAGAGACCCGTGGATGTGGGGAGAGCAGGCCCTTTTCATAACATTTAGGTAATAACAATATGTTTGAAATATTCTGCAGCCTTCGTCAGTTTTTTTTTAATGCGTATGTAGTAAAACCTTTAAAGACACGTTAACGCCTTTCCGTTAGTCCATCCACATCTATTTTCCTTCCATGATATCCAAGGGCTACCATCTGTGTGCGTGTGTGTGTGTGTGTGTGTTGTGTGTGTGTGTGTGTGTGTGTGTGGTAAACTTCTGTGATGTAATATAGCCTCAGTGTTATAGATGTATTTCTGTTTATTAGGTAGTCTTCATAAAATATTTCGTCTTCTAGAAAATCACTTGCTGATCCACAGTAATCAAAGAATCACCATCATCATCTTAGTGTGTCGTTATACGCCATATAGGGCTCACATTACATACACCCTTTCTGTTGTATTCAGTACAATCTTTTAATCAAAGAATATTTGTTTTACATGTAAACTTAATACGAAATCATTAGAGAAGACACTAAGATCAATGATAGGTACAGTGCAGGTAAATGATTTCATAGAAAATCAAAGAAATTAGACGGTTTCCTTATTTGGTCAAAAATGAACAAAATCAGCCAGCATATAGAGCGTACTACGAGAGAACAGCACGCTGCACGGCAAGAGGCCAACCAAGACAAATGTGGGTGAAGGGAGTAAAGGGGAAACTAATGTTGACATTGTGAAAACGGCATTTGATTAACTGATTGTGTCTGCCATATTTTCTAGCTTACACCTTCGCTTGTCAGTTTTGAATACTTTTATCCAGACAATAGCTAAATGCAGTGCGTCCACATGTTTAGTTACCTTTCTCTTGCACCTTCGCCCTCCTCTGTTCCAACTAAAACCTTCTATAACAGTAAAGAGCATACACTAAAATCCTATAATTTATTACTAGTACCACCTCTGACTGCATCACTCATCGATTAGTGTCTAAAAACGCTGCTTTAGCACCAAAGAATCGATGCGTCATCGCGGTGAATATGAAACCTAACTTTGTCGTATTTAACTTTTTTTTTCGTATTTCCTTTCTCCGCTTTCTAAATTCAAAATTGTCTGCTGAGAACAAAAAGACGTGGCTATTATTTTGACCAGTAAATTTGTGTAATCGTCTAAATGAGCATTTTAGCTACATCTGACACAGAACGAAGCGTAGACTGAGTTCATATTGATTGAGAAATAACTAGTCGTATCACAGAGCGATTTCAAAACCTCAAAGAAATAACGACATATCACATTTACAGATTACATTTAATGTATTATGTGGGGTGAACTTCAGCAACTTCAAAGTCATACCGTTGATATTTAACGCAGGCTGAAAGATCATGAATAAATCAAATAATGTCTGGAAAAAAAATTTGGTTTGATCATAAAATGCGCAAGATTTGTTTCAATGATACATTCAGTAAAGTTGAAATTGCTTTTAAATAAATGTAACGCTTGTGATTTACATTTTGTAATTGACAACTGATTGATACGATTTACTTCTAGACCAAGAGAAAACGTATATATTTAGGATATTTATTTATAGTCATACAAATTTGTTGCCGGCGTGATGCTAACCACATCACCCATCTTGTGCCAATAGGTCTATAAAATATAGGTCTAGCCCTATATGCCCTAAACGCCTAGAGGCGCGGAAATGGGTCCTTCACTTTACTTTTACTCATATAAAAATGTGGAAAAGATAAACACTGTTTGGTATAAAGCTACTCGACGTGCCTACTGGCTCAAACATTTTTTGTTTGAATCCTCACAACATCGGATTTTTTTTTATAGTTGACTTTGGCTGCGAGGTAGATTTAAAAAAAAATAGGTAGCGAAGTTTTTATTGGAAACAAAGGCGGCCAGCGTGAGAGGGACAGCTTTAGCCATCAAAGTCTAAAATGTTCGTATAGAATCATATGTCGGATTCGCTACTAGCAGGGAAAAGCTACCGTTACTTGTTTATTTACTGAGCTCCCTGTGTGGTCAAGGCTCTCGGAAAACAAGCAACGGAATCAGTAGAGAAACACGATTATTATGGCCTGGTGAAATTGAGACACCTGGGTGTAACCAGAGGGTCTGGCCGGCTCACTACACTCAAAGGAAACGCAAGACTGAGATATAACCAGACTGTGAATGGTACAATCAATACTGAAACTTTGCGCTAGCTGCTGAAGATGAGGAGGGAGCATGCATGGGAAGGCCCAGAGTACTGTTATGTTAATTCTTGACTCAACTCAACTTCAACTGAGCTCCCTGGGTGCTGAGTCTAAAAAAAAAGTACAACGGGGGAAAACCCCCATTAATACAATGATTACTGGGGACCTGGATATTTATCCACTTCACGTCAACACGGCTAAGAATGAAACTGTTGTGAGTCTGGCCAGGCATGAGAGGTACACGAGACGTTTGACCTCTTGTCAGCCAAGGTTCAAGTAGAACTATTAGCCACGTAAACTAAATAAATGTTGAAAATGACAGAAGTGTTATCATCTGAACACCCAGACTGTTCGGAGAGTCTTGAGGATTAACCAAATTCCAACTCCTAGAGAAAAGATTTGGATGTTTTTCAGAACGTCGATTTTTACATACAGATGGAAACACTAGGACACACATAGCCTCATGTTAATATAAATTTCTAGAAAAATCGTAAAATAAATGTAAAAGTTGTTCCACAGCAGGTAATATACGGGCAATGGTAAGACATTTTGAGGGGGCTTTTTCTTTGACAGAGAAACAGATCGGTTATGATCAGCTGACCGTCAAGGCAGAACTGCTATAATTTCATGAAACTGAGATAACTACCACGGGTTGTTAATTGTCGCGAGTTCTAGAGCACGGCTTATGGGATGAAGTGACTACTTCCCATCCTCGTCCGCTTTACATTTTATAAACTTATCATAACATAATGGACATTTGCTGGTGACCTTTTCAACAAGGCTAGGTCGACTCTGATACAGTACAGATCAGCTAATCCTGCTACTACTTTTGTGGGTTACACACCCCGACGACTGTCTCGGCACAGTTCCATTTTGAAGTCTGACCTCACAATCGGTTAAATGCCAGCTGGCATAATAATTGTACGTCACCAATCAAATGCCAACATGAACTAAAAGTTTAGCGTATCCGATGTATCGTAAAATTATTTTTACTTTGTGGTATTGGGTGATATGCTTCACGTTTATTACCATATTTAAAAAAAGTTGGATATCCTATTCAGAATATCAAAAACCAACCCTGAATGATTGTGGTTTTACTAGAAAATTTCAAGGTTGTATGTATTACGGTGTGAACAGTACGACGCTTACATCCTTGTCCAATCAAGGCACAGCGATTTATTTTAAAAAGCCGTCAGGTGACTTGGAACACGGGTATCTGAAGCTACAGAACTACATTCCCAACCTATCAGCCCCACATACATCGACTAAGTTTGTGAAGGAAGCAAACACAGTTATACCTATAATTTTTGGCCTTCTTCAAATTTATTCAATGTATATTTATGCACATACATATACACACACGCACTAAGCTAGTGAGTTCAGGACTATACAGATAAGTATTTCGAATAAGAAGCAACGACGAAATTTATAAAATGTTCAAATCTACTAATTACTGGTACTGGTATCTTGTGGTGGTCGTGTTGGTCGGGGCTGGGGTAGGGAGCGAAACGACTGAATAGTTGCGGCATACAGTAAGAATGGCTGATAAACAGGGGACAACAAATGTCTACACAAAATGTTTGCATTTGACACAGGACAGGACCAAGAAAACCGTGCTGAGATAGCATCCAATAGCATCCAGGCAGACCTATAAACAGTTGCATTCACTAACTTGAAAGAAAACGCCAATCACAAAGATGAATGGACGAGGGTGATATTTGCAGCAGTTAACTCGATAGGCATAAGGAGACTGGGTCGCTCATAACAATTGTGTTCCTGCTGCGCAGCTGCTAGAGAGTCGTTTCTACAATTCCAGTTATCTGTACTGGTAATCTGAACAAGATTTGCCCTTAGTTGGTCTTCCACGACCTTTTTTGCTTGTTACCAACACTTCAATAGTGACCATCTTCCAGGTCGAATTTGTGCTTGGGTTAAAGTTGACAGGTAAATCTCTAAGATCCGTACAGTATGGAGACTCTGTACTACTGGTATAATTTTCTTTGGTCACATTTGTATGCTACATATGACATCTTCGAAAGTTATCATTACTTTTCTGTGTATGACCTACATAATAAAGATTCCCTGCACTGGATATGTACATGTAAATCTACTACTGTCTTTGGAAATATTATATTGTGAGCACAACCTCTCCCTTTGATTGCCTTTCTAACGACTATTTTTTGCAAAACCGCCGGCTTATTTTATCTGTTTCAAGAATCAACATCACAACATTTGCACAGTCCTATTAGCGCTCCGTCCTTAACTCCGTCCTTAACTACAGCAGCCAGCGAAGAGTTCCAACTCCGATAGGAACAGTAGCAGTCTCACTATATGTCATTCTTGCCTTTCCTATCTGTTAGATCCCTGTTGCATCATTCTCACCAGGCAGCGATGATCTACTCGCAACTGTACCTCCACACGTTCATCAGTTTACAGTCGACCACGCTTGCAACAGAAACTGAATTCTATTTCTCAGACGATTGTCAAGCGCATTCAACCAGTACAGCACGGAACCATGTGTCTCATCAGGCATTGATAACTGTTTCTCCTGGCCCATCATCAATAATTATTGGAGCAGTTTTTACCCTTAGTGATTATATGATGATTATTAAGCTTTAATCATTACCACATCATTTGTCAACTGACGTTGTTAATCGTGCTTCTTCGCATCGTGTGAGCTGTAACCATCGACACTGAGCTCTCATATCATGGAAACAACGATAAAATAATGATACAACAATTACTGAGTTATTTAAATGTGCACCGTTTCTAAAATGAAGATTGACTAACCTTTGCGTACAGCTGTCTTTGTGAATATTGAGTAGTGAGGTCATGATTATTTCTCTGGTTTTATTCTTATACCAGTGACCAAAAAATATCATAATAGCAATTTTTTTTTTTTTTTCAAATACGAGCGTATGAAATGTTCCGGACACACTTAACTCTATAATTCGATTATCATGATCCTCATGTTGACACCGTGTGACATAGTGGAGAAAACAAGCCTCCCCAACAAGAATAGACCAACTAGGTGATTTCTTTGAAGTTGGAGTGTATCTGCATGACAGGCAAGGAACCAACATTATGTATACGGGTAAGTCAGAACTGTAGAACAGATGTGCACGCAACACTCAGGTTCTGAAACCAGACTGAAGTCCAAAGGTGGGCGAAGAACTAGAACTTTCCGCTGGAGTGTACAGAAGGTGAACGCAAAGAAGTCAGTTTTATATCAAATTATGTTTATAGTATATATAAGAAGAAACCCCACAGGGGAGCATGTACAGCAGGAGTCTCGTCGACAAAAGTTTCGGCCCACGAGCTCCTAGACATTTTCAGAGAGTGGGCCCACCTAAGTTTATGAAGCTTAGGGTTGGTTTCTCCTGCTGTACGTATTACCGGATGTTATCGGACAGGGACAAGACGAACTGGTGGCTTTGTCGAAGGTATTGTGAGATATGAAGTGGTCGCGGCAGCATAATTAGAGCAGTCATCATACCTGGCAAGCTTACGTTTGGTTTACCAGACACATGTTGGACTTTGTTGGCAAGAGGCAGAGGGACACTGACAGACAATTCGGACACGATGGACTTTAAGGGATACGACTTTTTTTTTCCACTAGACACCCGGACCAGCTCACCCAGGCCCGTCCCCCGCGACGTTCCGTTGTGTCCAGGGCCAGCTCGAGGCCCTCTCGGCAGCCTCGTCTAGTTGTTTAAGAGGTAGATACGAGACCTCTTGCGCCTACCTCGACAGCGAAGACTTACTGTGTACGCTTCGTCCGTCCTCAGACCGGCTGCAAAGTCACAGTACTTCTCGAGCATGTACATATGGCTACTCATACAGCATGGTCAGCTCAATCAGGTTGAGCTGACGTTTTTCCGCAGAGTGGAGAACTATGTCTGGTCGCAGGCCAGTCTTTCAGATTAACTCAGGGTACTTTTCATGGCCAGGCAGGTCAATCGCCAGTAAGCAGTCCCTCGCACAG